GGGGGGGGGGGGGGTTGGAAGATTTCGAAAAAAAATTTTCCTGCAATCCAAGGAGAAAGAGAAAAAAATCATGCAGCATATATAATCGAGAAAAAAAATATCATGCAAAAGAGAGCGCTCAACGTTCTTCACTTCAGTATTGTGTCCACAGGCTTGCAAGATTTTGCATTTTTGAGCAGGCACATTTGCTTAAAAGAACACGGGGTGAATAGTGGGCAACATCACAGGGATTCTACCGCCTTTGGAGCCTATCATAACATGCGATAGCCAGTGGCGTTCCCTGGCAAAATTGTCCCCCCCCCTGAGAAAATCTGGGCTTAAGATATGTATAAGTTTATAAGTTATTTTTATATATCTAATATGCATGATAGAAAAAGTATTTTTGGATGGTTGAGTCTGTGTGCGTTTTTTGGTAACATGGCTCCAAACTATTAAAGCTTCAAAGGCCCATCTACAGGATGACGAAGTTGAACGTATTGCATATACAATGATTTTAATGCGAAAATGCCAGTTTGGAGAGTCTAGATTTTAAAAAATTTCTGAAGAGGATGTAACCCGATTCCCAACAAGCTGTCTGCATGAATGATTGAAAAGCTACAGAGCTATATTTGGTGGAACATTGTTGTTTCGGAGGGCAGTTAAAAATCGCATTATTGAAATCTTGTTTTATTACATATTAATCAAAGCTCATTTTGTGAATTTCCCTTGTTTAAAATAAAGGACAGTAAGTGATCCTTAGGCTTAGTACAGCAAAGTTGTTGGACGAATCCATGACTGAAAACGCAGGAAATAGCATTTCTGACGTTCATATTTTAAAATTTTCTCGGGGGAGCATGCCCCCAAATCCCCCAAGGTTACAGGTCATTCATATACTGTACCCTCCCCCATTTTCGAGTACTCTACTCTATCCCTGCATGTTTTAGGTTTTGGTGCAGTTATACATTTTTTGTAAGTAAACCTGCACGCTTTAGTGTGGGGGGACATTAAGACATGACCATATAAAATAAAGCACAGTGAAAATTCCTTGGCCCCTCTTGGAATTCAGTTCTCGGCCTCCTCTGACTGAAAACCCCGGCTACGTCTCTGACGATAGCTATATGAAAGCGCAAAAAAATATCCTGCCGCGAAATATATTGGGAAAAAAATATCTTGCGCTGTACTTTTACAGGAAAAAAAACATCTGTCTTGTTCCCCTGGGCGGAAAAAAGATTATTGCACAGTCTGAATCTTCCACTCCCCCCCTCAAAAATCAAATGGTCCGTCCCTTTAAACATGCACATTTACTATAGGCTAATGACTCGGCAAAATTACCAAACAACAGTCGGCAAAAGATCACTCACTGTTTATAATAGCTTTATTGGCATGACCTTAAATTACAGGTATTGCTAAAGCATAATAATCTAAATATAAATAGTCTAAATATAGTAAAAAGGTAGAAATTCCAAGTTTACAAATGGTAAGAAGTACATGCATTACAATAACTATAGTCAATCCCAATAACAAATAACAAATACCAAATAAGATCTATTTACAAGATATAGGAAAAATTTTCATTATTTCAGCTTTCTAAGATTAGAGAAATAGTATGTTAATAATTAATTGACAGCAATCCCAATTTCAAGGTATCTATTTCTTTCCGTAAAACAGGAAGAAATATATTTCGACAGAGATAAAATAATCCCTTGTTCTGTAGATTTCATTATATCTACTAATTGTGCCTGATCTGTGATAATGGTTAACTTGTTTCTGAGAGTGGTGTAAAAATGCTCTCTTTGGTTGTTGTAGGCTTTACACGAATTGGCAAAATGGTACTCATCTTCCACTTCCCTGACTGGTAGATTTCACACAGTCGTTCTTCCCTTGGTATTTTTTGATAACGACCTAACTCAATCATTAATTTGTGGTTGCTCACTCGAAATTTTGTGAGTGTTTTCCTTTCGGTTGGATTTTTTATTTTTGAAAGATATTTCTCTAGTTGGTATTCTGTTTTGAACGTGTTGTAAAACTTTAGTTTGGAGGAGTTTTCGAGTTTGTGTTTCCAAGATATTTTTGCTTTATGTTGTCATGGATATAGCTTAGTGTTTGAATTGTGATTGATTCCAGTTCTGTTATTTGTGTGTTGCAGTTATAGGATTTTAAAATATCCATAATATTTCCATAGAACGTAAAGTTTGAATAAGAGTGGACTTAATGTGCATCCTTGGCGAACACCTTTGGAATAAGGGAAGAATGTTGTTCTGGACTTGGATAATTTGACTGCACATTTAGAGTTAGAATAAAGGCTCTTAATTAGACAATAAAAATTTCCCCCAATTTTGTATTTTAATAGTTTAGAGTATAGGCCTTCATGCCAGACAGAGTCAATTGCTTTTTTGAAGTCAACAAAGCATGGCTGCATAAATTTTATTGTTTTTGTTTTGGGTGACATGCTTATCAATTAACGTTTTTAGGTTTGAAATCCAATTTGCGAGTGGTGAACTAAATCATTTTCTTGTGTGAAATCATTCAATCGTTTATTTAGAATTAAACAGAAGAATTTGCCAATACAACTTGTCACACAAATTCCCCTGTAGTTGTTAGGATCTTGTTTGTCTCCAGATTTAAGAATAGGGGTTAAAGACATTCGCACCATTTATCAGGGAAAATTCCACACTCTAGAATTAGATTAAACAATTAATGATAGCCTTTAAGCAGAATGTTCACACTAGATTTTATCATTTCGTTCCTTATCCTATCAGAGTAGGCAGATTTCTTATGCTTTAGTTTTGTAGCTGCACTTATAATGTCGTCTTCTGTAATTGGGTCATCAAGAGTGTTATCGTCATCAATGTTGTTTTCAAGAAGTTCTAAATTTTTAAGGATACCTTCTTGCTTGGGGCCTAAGTTGTGTTTTGTATGTAGATTTTCAAAGTGCGATATCCATTTTTGGTTGGTTATTTGTGTTGAGCTAGAAGAGAGATCATCACAGCTGTCACTCATGTTTTTCAGGTTTTTCCAGAATGAATTTGGGTCAGTCTCGGCAGCTATTTCCAAATCCTCGAGTTTTTTCTCATGAAAAATTTCTTTTTTATGTTTCAAGGTATCTTTATATATCTTTAGAGCCTCATGGTATTTCTTTCGAATTTCGGAGTTCAAGGGATCTCTGTGTTTTTGATTTGCTAGTTTTCTGACAAAGTGCCTTTTTAGACGACATTCTTTGTCAAACCATTTTTTGTTACATACATTTGTGATTTTATTTCTATATTTAGTCTTTTTAATTCTAAGTGACTTCTTAGCCGCATCTGAAATTATTTCTTGAAATTGATTAGAAAAGTTATTCAAACCTTCTTTGGTTGCAGGAGGGTTTGAATTAATTAATTCGTCAAGTTTTCTTTGAGTATAAGTTGATTTCAAGTTTTCCTTGAAAGTAGTTGCTGTGTTGATCTCC